ATCAGTGTCTCACTCACTGTGGGATTGTGGGTGATCGTCACCCAAGCTCGGATGCTCAGTCTCAGGCTGTGGTGTTTAGCAGAAATCGGTGAATTTTCAGAACATTGGGAGGTTCCCACAACTGGCACTCATGTATTTTCTGTCACTTCAAAGCACCTATGGACACTCCTTTGTTTTTCCATACAAGAGTAAGCTTAGGAATGCTTTGCTTCATTCTAGATCAGGCTGCCTGCAAATATAGACCTTTTCCTCTGCTGCCTTATCGCCAATTACTTTAAATATAGTATATGACAAAAGTTTATTAATACTATACTGTAGTCAAAATCTGTGCAAGTGTATACAGTGGCCCGCATGCAGAAAAAGATTCCATTGAGACAATAGATAGCAGTGATTCTATCAGTGATAGTGAAAGTCATCCTACATAATAACCTTCCTCTCTCGTCTCCCTCACACTAGCCACAAAGGTTTTCAAAGGTTAAGTACAGGTTAATTTTTTCTTATATTTTGTATTTTATTATTTTGTATTATACTACAGTATTATAATCATTTTTACATGAATATTTTTGGGTTGTGGACTCATCTGAGTTTCCATTATTTATTTCTTATGGGGAAATTCACGTTGATATACAGGTGCTTTGGATTACAAGCATGTTTGGGAAATGAATTATGCTCGCAAACCAAAGTTTTACTGTACTAGTTTGAGACAGCATAGTACACTCTCACTACTTTAAGTAGAAACAGATTTATTCCAGGGTATTGGTTAGTTTACAGGGTATCTCGGAAAGCCAAGAAACCAAGTTTGGTTGTTTGTGCTCATTGATAACAGAGCCAAGAGAGAAGCCCAATGACACCATGAAAACTTTCCAACAGAAAAGTTCTTGCTGTCACCACCTGATTCTTGATACCCATGAATCAGGATCTGGTCACTAGAATCTCTACAACAGCTGCAATAGAAAAAACAAAAGCCTCTACATCTATGCTTGCCAGAACTATGTGGCCTTTGCCTCGTGATGCTCACTTCTGCCTGCCAAGTCTGGCAGGGGTGAATCTGCCTGGCAGAAAACATGAGTAACCCTTGCAATACTTCACAGGAGCCCAGAAAGGCCTGCTGCAATGGATTGAAAGGGTGTAGAATGAGACAATTGGTAAGGTTTGCTGTCTGTCCCTTTGGTTATTCAGCATCTGTTCATCTTTCTCCTCTTAAAATCACACACCACAAACATATAAGTTCCTGAGTTTTTTCCATTAGTTTTGCCACTGAGCATGGTTGCCTTCATTGTGTGGTAGAAACCCTATCTTCCCTTTAAAATCTGTATCGAGCACTCCAGCCAACACACATAATCCACCTCGCCTTGTTCATGAAACATGAGAAATCCAAAAAAGACCAGGTGTCAGTCTCAACCTCTAGTTCACTGTAACCACTTTTGTGTTTTCCAGTGGACTCATTCTTTCCTTGGATAATAAGACTATTAGACCAGCAAAGTTGACAGTTGCAGGGATAGAGAAAAATTTTGAGAGTGGGTCATTAAGCTTATTAGTGGGAGGGATCACTCTTACTTCACATCCATTTTTCTGACCCTATGTATTGTGGCCATGAAAGATATATACGGAGTGCATTCTGACTGACAGCATTACAACCTCATGGCTGGTATCTTAATTGGGTCTTCCAAAGGACTGTCTACCTTTCTAAAGCCCACCCACTTTTGGGTGATGGGATACATGGTAAGATCAGTGACTCTCAAAAGCATTAGCCCAGTGCTTTACTTCATTCACCAATAAATAGATTCCCTAGTCAGAAACAATGGTTAATAAGATATCATGACCAAAAAATAAAAAAATAAAAATACCATGACAATGAATTAGGTACTTAATAGGACTTTAGATAAGGATGCAGGTAAAATTTTGGCATGGAGGGAAAGCAAACCTATGTTTATAGTAAATATGTGTTTGCAGTGAGAAAAATTTCTGCTCTATCCATGATGGAAAGAGGCCTATGTAGTCAAACTGCCACTAGGTGGTTGTTTGATATTCCAGAGCTGAAGACTAGATCAGGACCCAGCTGTTGGTCACTATGGCAGGTATGTTAGGCACTCAGGTGTTACAATAACCAAGTCAGCCCCGGGGAGGGGTGTGATGTTAATACTGAACCTGGGAATAATCCCCTTCCTTACCACCATCAAGACTTTTTAAATGAGCCTACTGAACAAACACTTAGATGCCTGGGAAAAGGCCAGTTTGGGAATATTCAGAGTATCCTTTGTAGTAGTCCTTGACAAGCATCCGTGGGACACAGTTATTCTCATAGTCTGGACAAATCTAAAGATGTCCATCTATGCATTTCTTTCCCCGTATCTCCTTGTTACAGCCTTTCAATCTGGTTTTTCCATGACCTGACTTAGTTTTTCCCATGAACTGGTATAGATCCACACCTCAGAACATCTTCTTCCAGACAAAATAGACCACAATACATTCCTTCCAAAACTTGCACAAGTGCATCTAAAAACCGTGATGATGATTTATTTTCTCCTGTGAAGAGGCAAAGTCACCTGCTAAAAGTGAGGGAAGAGGGGCACCTGGGTGGCTCAGTCAGGTTAAGCATCCAATTTCAGCTCAGGTCATGATCTCACAGTTTGTGGGTTTGAGCCCTGTGTCAGGCTCTGTACTGACAGGTCAGAGCCTGGAGCCTGCTTCGGATTCTGTGTCTCCCTCTCTCTTTGCCCTTACCCTGCTTGCACTCTGTCTCTCTCTCTCAAAAATAAATAAGCATTAAAAAATTTTAAGATCTTCAGTTACAAAAAAAGTGAGGGAAGAAAAGTAACAGAGTCAGAGATTTGAGAAATTCAAAAGTTTTAAAATACCCACACATGAGAGAAAGAGAATTTGGAAAAATGATTTGGAGACAGTGTTAAAGATGTCAAATTACATGGTTATGCAATTTTTCTCCAGACGCAAAGCCACCACAATGGACAAATATAGCATGTTACTGCAGCCTCGAGACTATTCACTTACCTATGTTTAAAATTAATAACTAGTTCACAAAATTAATTTGCTGGTAATTCTAGCTAAAGTGGGGTTATTATTTAGATATTATATTTGTTAAGAGCATCTTTTATCCAAGATATGAGTAATATATTAAAAAAATAAGTATTATTTGGAATAATCATCTTTTAAAATCTATAAATCAACTGATAAACAATCGTTGCCTTTGGGAAGGGAAAGTAGGTAGCTGAAAGACAAGAGTAAAGGGAGATTTACTTTTCATTCCATATTCCTTGTAGCTTTTGAATTTTATATCTATACATAAAAATACCTATACAATCTTTTGATATGTCCAGACTCACTTGATAAAAGTATGTTTCTCTAAGAGGTCAGGCCTGTGCAGCTGTGGCCTTCTGCCTGGTAGGTCTACTCTATACCAAAGGGCACATAGAGATGATTTTCTAAGCCATTTCTAAGTATCAGCTAACCAGAAGGACATTATCCAAAATCGGTGTGATGGGAATATGAATTATTTATTTTTCCCTGTATTTTCTAAACTTTCTATAATGCACATGGTCAGGGAAAGAACTCATAAATATTTGCCATGTATCCACTCATTCATTTGTCCATGTATTCAACCAATTCTTAGCGAGGTGTGTGTGTGTTTTCTAAAAACCCTTATGTGGTGTGTTCTAGGAAATATAGAGCTACAAAGAGAAAGCCTCTAGTTAATCACCTCAATCTTTTTTAATGGGGCATAGTATAAATAAGGAGTGATCCCCACCTTCCAGGTATTTGCAGTTAGATATATAGGAAAGTCCTCAATAGAACAGGATAATATAAACACTCTATGTAACAAACATTGTGCTATGGGAGTGAAGAAGAAACAATTCATATTCATCCTGGGCATATTAGGAAAGGTTTCACAGGAAACAACAACAACAACACATATTTGAGCTAGGTTTTGAACAGTGGTTAGAATTTTAGAGAAGAAAAAGAGATGGAAAATGCATTTCAGGTTGAGGAAACAGCTTGAGCAAAGGCATGAAAACATGAATATGTTTGGCAAATTGGAAAAATGGTCATCATCTAGTGAGATAAGAATACAGTGTGCATGGAAATACTTATGGGAGCAGGATGTTGAAAGGAACAGACAGTCATGTTGCCTGAGCCATGTGCTGGAAGACACTGAAAGTCTGCGAAAAGGAAGGAACAAGTTTTCACTCATGTTTTAGGAAGACATTGTATTTAGGCAGTGCGATAACATAAAAATCATAGGCTTTAAAGTTAAGCAGACCTAAATTTGAATCTTCTCTTGTACTCACTAACAGTGTCATCTGGGACAAGTTCCTTAACTTCTCTGTTCTCAATTTCATCATGTTAGAGGAGGGTTGATGAATGAAAGCCCTCAACACTTGCATGGCACACAGCAGAGGTTAAGTAAATTATAGGTATTATTATTTTTATGGCAGTGTGGACGGTGTATCAGCAAGGTAAGATATTGAATATATGGGCTAGTTCAGGGACTGAAATGTAATCTACAGGAGGTGATGAGGGCCCCAAATAAATAATGACTGTAGGAACAGCAATGGCAGAACATAAGATATCAGCATCTAGTGGGCAGAGGCCAACGATCCTACAATTTATAAGACAGCCATCAAAAACAAAGAATTATCTGGCCCAAAGGTCAGTAGTGTCAATGATGGAGAAACCCTATATTAATGGAAAGAGATCAAAAAACAAGTTGAATGAACTTCCACCAAAATTTTTAAAATTTGGGGCTCCTGGGTGGCTGTTGGTTAAACATCTAACTTCGGTTCAGGTCATGATCTCACGGATCATGTGTTCGCTGCTGTCCATGCAGAGTCCACTTCAGATCCTCTGTCCCCCTTGCTCTCTGTCCCTTCCCCGCTTGTGCGTGTATGCATGCGCACTCTCTCTCAAAAATAGAGATTTTAAAAAATGTTAATTATAAACCATTTAAAACATATTTAAAATATAATAGATACTCACATACTTACTACTAAAATTTAAGGGATATCATCACATGATTCATCCACATCAAGGAGAAGGAGGTGGAACCATGAGTCTAGATAATTCTTGAGAAACACTTTAGCCCTCTATAAGTGAGAAAGAATTGTATCTGATGGAGGAGTACTTAATAATCTTCAGGTAAAGGTCCTTTGTTCCTCCTTCATAGAGCTTTAAAATGGAAAGTTTCTGAAAGGAATAATTTGTTAAGAGTAACAGTTTTCTCATTGGCTCATTAAGCAATTTAACGAATATCATTAAGATAGCATAATATCTAGAAAAGGAAGAAAAATTGGCAGTATGCTATGAAGAAAACTTTCAACAAATGAAGCGTGACATTTCATGGGGACTTTGTTTAAATGCGAACCGACAGAAGAACCCAATCTAGTATGACAAGACCCTCATAGCTCCATCAAAATGTGACATTGGGGAAGGATTCGGTTATAGCAGGAGCATGCCTCCAAGTCTGTATATCCCACTACGCATATGATTTCTTCCCTAAAGTGGCACAAACATAAACGATAAAAGTAAAGCGACTCCTTCAGGCTTTTAGTGAACATAAACACTTGTGAGATAAGTACAGAAATATAGACAAGGGAGATCAGACAGACTTACATACCAGCAAAGGGGCTGGAACAATAGTGAGGCCAATTCAATTTCACACCATAGCAAATTTATAAGAACTACAGCAAATTCACAAGAGTCACTCTTGGGCAGGTAATACTACAAATATAAAATCTGCACATGCCAATGATCCATTGTGCAACTATTAGAGTACCTACCCTTCTATGGGTAGGCTCCCTTCTTTGATCCATGCCTACCTACCCAGTCAGATCTTATATTTACATATATGCATTTTTAATACAAAAGAATCTACCTGCCTTAAGCAGAATTTGTGTGGATTATTGTATGTCTGTGGTTTAACATGCTCATGTAAAGCTATAAGCTATACTGTTCAATACATGCTGCATCTGTTTACTGAGCATGTGAACCAAGACTAATCTAAATTAAGATATGCTATGACTGTAAAAAACACATGGAACTTCAAAGACTCACTGAAGAAAAAGGAAACTATCTCACTAATTTTATTACATTATTACACATTAAAATTATACTAATTTGGATATCTTGGGTTGATAAATTATATTATTAAAATCAATCTTACATTTTTTTTTACTTTTTAAATGTAGCTCCTAGAAAAATTAAAATTAAATATGTGGCTTGCATTATATTTCTATTAGACAGTGTTAACCTACAACTTACACTATGCATCTAGCCATTTTAAGGATCTGATACATTCTAATTCAGACACACTGCTAATATAATACACATGGCATGGAACCAAACATTCAGACATCAGTTTTCCAGAGAAATATCTTTAAACTGTACATTCAACAAATGACACTGTGTTAAATTACACTGTGCTAGAATAGAAGTTATCCTATTCATGATAGAAGTTTTATCCAGGAAGGAGTAGCTGTAGTCCTATTTTCTTGAGATGGTAACTGATGGAATCAACTATAAAAGGTATTACTTCTGGGGTACCTAGGTGGCTCAGCTGGTTAAGCGTCCAACTCATAATTTTGGCTCAGGTCATGATCTCTCAGTTCATGGGATGGAGCACCCCATTGGGCTTTGCCCCTCCCCAACTTGCATTCTCTCTCTCTCTCTCTGTCTCTTTGAAAATAAACAAGTAAATAAAAATTAAATAAATAAAAGGTATTACTTCTGAATATGTACATATATGTGATCACTGGGAGCAGAAGGAATGATTCTCAGAATTCTTAAGGCAAAAGTCGTACTTGATTAGACATTTTATTTTTGTAGGTAAATAATTAAGTGTAGAAAAAGAAAGCTATAACATCTATTTTCTCAAAATTCAGTGTACTAAATTCCATGTTGAGAGATATTAATAAATGGATGGGAAAATAGTGTGTCAGAAAAGCATTTCGGTCAAGGATAGATTCATTATCTATCATTATGTTACAATATTATTATAAGTTTAGTGGCTTAAAACAACATATATTTATTATTATCTTTGTTTTGTGAGTTAAGTATTGGAGAACAGCTTAACTAGATCCTCTGTAAGATGCAATCAAGGTGTTGGCTAGATCTGGATTTTCACCTGAGATTTGACTGGAAAAGGATCTGCTTCTACACCCATGGTTGTTGACAGCATCTCATTCCTTCAGAATGCCAGACACAGATCCTCAATTTCTTGGTAGCTGTTGGCTGGAGGCTGCTTGTCAGTTCCTTGCTTTATGGTCCTCTCTTTAGGGAAGCTCAAGTCTTCCAGCAAGATAGATGTTACAGCCTTAGTAAATAATCACATCCATGGGGAACCTGGGTGTCTCAGTCAGTTAAGCGACCAACTCTTGATTTCAGCTCAGGTCACGATCTCATGGTTTGTGGGATGGAGCCCCATGTAGGGCTCTGTGCTGACAGTGAGGAGCCTGCCTGGGATTCTCTCTTTCTTTCTTTCTCTGCCCCTCCCCTGCTCATGTGAGCACATGTGCATGCTCTCTCTCTTTCAAAAATAAATAAAAACTTAAAAAGAAGAGGTAATCACATCCATGTAACCAAGTACACCCTGTCACCTTTACTGTGTTCTACTCATCAGAAGGAAGTCATAGATCCCACCCACACTCAAGGGAAGGGGATTATACAGGACATGAATACCAGGAAGTAGAGATTATGGGGCCTCCTTACAGTCTGTCCTACATAATGGGGGAACTGGCTTAGGGATAAAAACTAGGGAGAGGTACTGCAGTGGTACCCAAAGGAACTATAAGGACCATTTTAGTTATGTTTCAAATGATCTGGAAGAGTAGAAAAATAATAGAATTTCCCAGTTTACCAATGAAAATAATGTTCTAGATAGTGAGATGTCATGACATTGGGAATAAGTAAAGACTGGTAAATGGAAATCACAAGCACCAACATTATCGGCAAGCTGTATGTGGACTTACATCTGAGAACCAAGACACAGAAGCAATAACTAGAACAGTCTTGGGGTATCTGGGTGGCTCAGTTGGTTACATGTCCACCTTCAGCTCAGGTCATGATCTCAGAGCTTGTGGATTCAAGCCCCACATTGGGCTTTGTGCTGACAGCTCAGAGCCTGGAGCCTGCTTTGGATTCTGTGTGTGTCTCTCTCTCTCCCTCTACTCCTCCTTTGCTTATGCTCTATCTCTGTCTTTCAAAAGTAAAAAGAATGTTTTTAAAAAATAACTAGAATAGTCTTGGTGGAATCTAAGAGTAAGACAAGGTACTTCCCTTCAGGAGGGTCTGGTAATACTGCCCAGAGAGGTTAGCAACAGTGGAGGAAAACATTCTGGTCAGCCCCACAGCAAAAGAGAAATGGGTGCATGGTAAATGAAGTTTCTCAGAGATTAAAAAACAAACAAACAAACAAACAAACAAACTTTCCAGTGAAAGGCCAGACAAGATAGGCAGATTCTGTGACTGCAGTACACCCAGACCTATCTGGGTGGCTCAGTTGGTTAAGTGCCTAACCTCAGGTCAGGCAGGTCATGGTCTCATAGTTCATGGGTTCAAGCCCCATGTCAGGCTCTGTACTGACAGCTCAGAGGCTGGAGCCTGCTTCAGATTCTGGCTCTGTGTCTCTCTGCCCCCTTCCCTGCTCCTACTCTCTCTCTCAAAAATAAATAAACATTAAAAAAAAATTTTTAAGAGACACAAAGATGAACAGATATTTGTATTCAACTCAACAGTACAGGGGCATTTGACTTGTACAAAACTGACTAGACCATAGTATATGGCTATAAAAGGTCAGAAAAGATAAATAATTGATTAATTTCTTACTGATTGAGTTCATTATAGATGCACTTTAAACAAAACTCTCATAAGTTAAACTCTATTGTGTTTTGGTATCTACCCTCATTTGGTTTCAACAAATATTTATTGAGCAGTTATTGTGCTAGGAAATGCTCTAGGTACTTGGAATAAAATGTGAAACAAATCAGGTGAGGTCTCTGCTCTTGTGGAGATTATAACAGGGTCAAAGATGAACACTGAATGAATAATTACACAAATAACCATATAATTATTACTGGTAACTCTTATAAAGAACAAGAATAGAGTGCTTTGGGAAAAATACAACAGGGAAATCCAATCTAGCCTGCGGGATCAGGATTAAAAGGACAGTAACATTCAAACTGAGACCTGAAAGAGGGTTTCCTCACTGTGAGGATAAGGTAGTAGAGGAAACAACACATAAGGCCCTGAGATGGGAAGGAGTTTGTGGGGTATGGAAGGAGGGCTATATGGTTGGGGCATAGTAAGCAAGAGCTCAGAATGACAGTAACAATTATGTAGGACATGGTAGATCATGTTAAAGATTTTTAAATTTTATCTTAAAGGCAATGAGAAATCACTTAAAGATTTTAAGCAGAGACATGACTGGCATGGTCACCCCTCCCCCCAATTCATGTATAGAATCCTACCTCCTAAAGATGATGGTATTAGGAGGTAGAGACTTTGGGAGGTGATTAGGTCATGAACCCTCCAGGATGAGATTAATGCCTGTAGGAGAGACTCCAGAGATATCCCCAGCCCTTCAAACATGTGAGGTCACTGTGAAAACTTGCCAGCTATGAACTACGAAGAAGTCCTTCCCCAGAAAGCATCTTGATCTTGGACTTTCAGGACTCCAGATCTGTGAGCAATAAATTTCTACTGTTTATAAACCAACAGTCTGTCGTATTTTGTTACAGATCACAACAGACCAAGGCAAATAACATAACGTGATCTCTCTTTAAACTGTCACTGTCATAGGTTTTGAGAATTGGATAGGAGAAGAGGCAAGCATGAACATGGAATGGCCATGAGGAGGTTTTTACAACCATCCAGAAAGATACACTTGTAACTTGGACTAGGGCAATGACAATGGAGATTGAGAGAGGTGGACAAATTCAACAAGTATTTTGAAAGTAGAAAGGTCACTGGGTGTGAAGTACACCTCACAGAAAGATGGAATTTTCAAGCATGACAACCATGTTTCTAGCACAAGCAACTGGATGTACAGAACTACCATTTACTAATAATAGGAGCATAAATGGGAATAGATTTGAGGAAAAATTCTAGAGGCTTCAGTTAAAAGATGCAAGATGCTCCTTTCTATTGCCTGTAGTGGTGGTAATAATAATAATTTAAAAAGATTG